TCGCCCTTATCCTATAGAAAAATGTTCCGGATCAAACGATTGTCCTGCCTCGGACCAAAGAGTATAGTAATGTTCGACGACCGACATTATTGAGTGGGTCTCACAGACCACAGAGTACAGAAACTCGAAATGATCGATTTGAGTGTTCGACCCGAATGACTAGGTTCGTGAGACGAATCAATAATTGAATGATCGGGTCTCTAGAAATGAATGAATAACACATGTCTAGTTTCGACATCACTTGAATACGCAGGTTCTTTGTTGATCTGAGAACACATATCATCTCATAGGTGACGAAAGATTTTATGGTCTCCTATAAACAGTGGTATAACTATTTTGTATATCATTATCATCGTCATGCAGGTGGCTCAGAAACGTGTTTGAAGCATTACTTGAGGGACTTCTACGTTCAGCAGTGGAATCGTGAAGAACTGTAATGATGATGATAATATGATGCCACATTCATCATTCACAGCCTATAAAACTCCAGTATTGTAAGTCTCCATAGATTGCATCACAGGGAGGATTTTCATAACTGCCCCGCTTGGCAGGCAAGTTGGCAACCTCGTTTTTTTCAATTTTGAGTCGCTATCGTGAAGACGCTGCTGCCGGTCTGCTGTTTTGAGTTTCCCTATATCGCATCTCCCGACACCCACATGATGATAAGGGGTAATGAATATTCTTACAAAGCCACTACACAATTTATAATATGATAGATTGAATGCTCACTGTGATCAACCTGCCTGCCAGGTGTGGTGAGTTTTTTTTTATAGGATAAGGTGACAAACGAGCGCACAGTACATCCGATGGTAAGTGTTTGCAATGGCTCATAGACATCTACATCTATCCTCGATTACGAATCAAAATGCAGATGCGTTGTCACCCGTGAAGACTAAGATGGAATGCCTCCTTTCCAGTATAATGGGTCTCCGGTTCTCTACATTCACCATACGAAACATAGTACCATTTTACGCAAGCTGCTATTTTACGCTAGTATTCTGTGAGGGCGTGATCCCTCCCCGGTCGAGCCGGCCCATTCGTGCTACAAGCTACAACTATACTAATACTACTAAAATAGCTCCAGAATGGCTCTGTCACTTCAAATAAAGTATGTTTAGACATTTCAAGCTAGCGAGTTAACTTGCTTTGAAACTATGTAAGCGGTTAAATATGGAAAGCTTTATACAGTCAAGATGTCAAAGATGTAATAGAATAATAAGAGAAATTAATAGTAAGAATATTTCTAGAATTTAATTGCGAATAATAGGAGAATATCTCATCAAATAATGAGGCAGTGGCGAAATATTCTTAAGGCAAACTAGGCAGGTGTCTAGGGGCGCAAGTTTAAAAAGGGGTGATCGCGGAAGTTTTTAAACGAAAAAAATCGTCTATTTAATTACTCCTACCCTTTCTCTATTATCACATTTTGATTTTCGCCCACCTGTTAAGAGTACTAGTGTTTTTATTATTTTGCAACTATTATACTAAGTAAATTATAACAGTTTATTTTCAAAATAAGTAGTTATAATTTATAACATTTGGCACCTAGAAGGGCGACGATAAGGTCGCCCTTGCCTAGGGCGCTGAAAACTCTTCTCCACAGTTTTTGATTCTTGGTAGCTTATGGAATAAACATTTATTAGTTATATAGAGCAGATACTGAACCATAGTAAATTAACCGTGAACATTTTATTAATTGCGGCGAGTTCTGGAAATCTATACGAGTACAATAGATCTGTAAGTATATATTTAAAGAACTGACAGAAAATAGCAAAAATTTAGTTTAAACAATAAATCTAGATAAAACAAAAGTTAGGTATGACAAATAACGTTAGGCACACTACACAGATAGGAAATAAAGTTATAGAATATATCACAGATTACACCTACTTAGGTTACCTTATTGCCCCATTTACATTCAGCCCTGTTGGGCAGGGAAGTGAGCAGGGCAGTGAGCAGGGCAGTGTGTGCATGTAAACAGGCTACTCGCGCTGACACTGCCGCTGCGGCTGCCACTGCCCTACGATCGCTCAAATGTCGGTTTTTCGTGCGGAAGTCAAAGGACGGGCAGCGCGAGCGGCAGTGAGTGTTCACATTCAGCTCCATCGCTCACTTCGCGCCAAGCGCCTGGATGAACGGACGTGCGTGCCGTCTTGTTATTAAATGAGTACTATCTACCAAAATGCCTTTCGAGTGGAATAATGAAAATACAATAAAGTTTTTAGAACTGCTGTAATCAGAAAAAACTATGGGATTTCAACGATAAAAACCACAATTCATCATCTTCTACGAATACCAATTTTATTTATGAGATAACATAGTACCTATGTACATAATTAATTATAAATTCATCAAATTTATTATTTTAATATAAAATTTGTAGTTTAAGGAATTAATGAACATTGACATTTTATTTCTAAAAACGAGCAGTAACTCATATTGATTATTTATTTATTAAAATGTAAAATAAGTTAAATGGTAATATTTGCATAATAGCCTGATATTTTTAAGTTATAATTTTATTGTAATTAAAATTATGAATTAATTTATACTGTACTGTAATTATTATAATAATAATAGCTTAACTAATCTCATATAATATTTAATATTATTTATGTAACAATAATGTAGTAATTCAATTAATAATTTATGAACAATTTACTGTATATGAATTCTAATAGAGTGGATCTGTATATGTATTTAATTTTACATAATATTTGAATTCCAAAAAGGATGTTTGTAACTAACTTTTAAGAAATGCAATAATTTTAAAATGTAACATTGGGTTTGTGTAATTAGCTGTATTTCATATCATTTTTGCATGCTAATTATGGCAAAACATGTCAGTTCCACGTGATGATCTTATCTACCATGTTTTTAAGCAAATAAATTCCATCTATCAAATAAAATCTATCTATTTATCTATCTTCTTTTGAACTTGATATCTTTTTAAATTATTAACATAATTTTGTATTGCAAGAAGACACAGCGCGGACGCTGTAATTATTTCGATTTCGACGTCTGCCATAGTCGAAAGCCGAAAGCGATGTGAGCTGGTTTCTGGTTATAAAAATATACTCTATGGATGTGAGTGGTAGGGCAGAGTGTGAGTACACACTTCCCGCGATCCTGCTACGGCAGTATTTAGAGAAATATTGCCGGCAGCGCGAGGAGCAGTGGCAGGGGCTGAATGTAAATGAGGCTAATACATATCTTATCCTCTGACAACTTATCTGATACTCTATCTTATCCGATGACAACAAAGAGGCAGAAAAATAACAAATACTAGGAACCAAAATAGTTCATCAACACGAAATAGAGCGAAGCGTTTTGGATATACTTAAAGAAAAATCATAAAGTAGGCTTATAAATATTAGAGAACAAACGGAACGGTATCCACCAATAAACGTTTTTATAGAAATAAGAGTAACAAACAAGCACGCAGTCCACTAATGGTAAATAGATATTGTGGCTCATAGACAATTCCACAGCTATCCTCGATTAAGAATCGTTACTATGTCACCCCCGAGGACATTGATGGAATGTTTCGTTTCTAATCAAAAGGGTATCTGGTACTTTACACTCACCATACGAAACACAGCAGCATCAAGCTGCTATTTTACGTTTGTATTCTGTGAGTGTTGCACCATTAATGTAACTGCAGCATGACTCTACTACTCACGTATAAAAACACTTATGGAAAAAGTTAAACGAGGTTTACGTTGGGAGACAACCTGGCTATAAAGAGACTTAGTTGCAGTTGTACACGACAAAAAAGCAAAGAATACGGCTTTTGCTGAACCAAAGATTTCCTTTGGCAGGATTAATCTGTGCATCCCTAAGATGGGTTTTCGAAGTGGAGCCACCGGAATTTTTCATGCAGGTGGTGGGGGTTTTAGCCTTAACAAAGTCGTAGGTTAATAACTGCGTAGGGTTTAGGTATATAGTCGAGTTTGATCATTTTCGATTATATTGAATGTCTAAATGTCAATTCTGGAATAATATTTAGGTCAATAGATAGTAAAAAATTAATAAAATTGTAATATGAGTTTCAAATAATAAGTAATTATTCTATATTCCTATATCCGTATATTTCTTTTTAAAATCTGACGTGAATCTATTCTCAAAACTATTAAAATATAATGTCAGAATAGGAGTCTGGACTTGGACATCTTCTTTTCTTATGAGAATCAAATTGAACCTACTTCTTTATCGTCGATGGGAAATTTGCGAATGTGCCAGAAACCTGACATAGTCACGGTTTTGAATAAAGAAATCGAAGGCAACACACACATACACACAATCACGCCGTTATCCCTTTCAACACTTACCCTGAAAATTGTAATAGTCATATTTTTGATGGAGCTGCCCTTGTCCACAGTCATCCTCCACGTAGCTCCAAAACATTCAAAGAATACGGCTGCAATGAGTTCCGTCGGTGCATCTTGGGAAGTACAGAGAACATAGAGGCGAGAAGGGTTGATATCGTCTGGGATCTTTACTCTGATATGTCTCTCAAGAAGCAGGTTCGGGATGATAGAGGGCAAGGAATACGTCGTTAAGTAATGACAACTACAAATTGCCAAGCAATTGATCAAACTTTCTTAATGATTCTCAGAACAAGGAAGAACTGTTTAAGCTACTCGGATGCTATGCCCTTCAGGGGAACCTCGGTATACATATTATATAGTGACTAACATCGGTCCGACAATCAAATCATCAGTACCAACGAACATGCTGTTGACAGGGCTTAATGTTACTTGCGAGGAGGCTGATAGCCGCATTACTCTGCATGCCAAAGACATGGTGATGAATGGAGCAACAAACATAATAATACATCCTGTTGATTCAGACGTGCTCATAATTGCCATATCCTACTACTTTCCCTTGAGCAGTTAGATCTCAAAGAGTTGTGGATATCTTTTGGTACTGGAAAGCATCACAGCTATATAGCTGCGCATTATTTGGCACATCATCTGGGTGAAGAGAGAGCAGAAGCCATGAGAGGGTATCATGCATTCACAGGTTGTGACACCGTTTCTGCGTTCTACTCAAAAGGGAAAACACTGACCTGGAAAGCATGGCAGCAGTGTATTGATGCCACATCAGCTTTTAAAGCCCTTTCTAATCCGTTAAATGAACTGACAGATGATATACTGATTAGCTTGGAAAAGTTCGTCATCAAGCTTTACTGTGGTGACAGTGAAATAGTTTCGGTGAATGAAGCTCGCAAGTTTTTGTTCACAAAAATAAGGCTTTACAGAATATCCCCCCTACAAGAGATGCCCTTAAAATTCATGCACTTAGAACAGCCTACCAAGCAGGTTAATATATGGGGACAAGCTTTTGATTCCTCACCCGATATTCTCTCCCCATCAAACTGGGGATGGACTGAAAAGGAAGGACAATGGCAGCCAATATGGACAACCCAGCACAGTATCTGGGTTGTTGCGCGAGAGCTGGTAAAATGTGGATGTAAGAACAGCTGTAGAGGCCGTTGTTCTTGTAGACGAGAAGGAATGACATGCACACTCCTATGCAAGACCTGTAATGGCAACTGCGATAATTCTAGGTATATTTATGTTTGAATAACTTTCGCTTTTAGTTTGCTTGCTTGTTTGTTTCTACTTTTTTGGGTAATCATTGTTTTATATTTTATTACAGTGTAATAGACCGCGAAGCACTCATCGAAGACGATATAGAACTGGATTCAGAGGTATTGGTGGACGAGGGATTCCTATCCCTCATCATACAACCTTTTTGATTTTGTAGTCTTAGATTTTTTAAATAAATACTGTAAATTTTACTTTCTTTTTTTTATTTCACGTAGTTTTACATCTTAATCGTACAAATATGAGTCCTAAAATGAATTTAGCATCCTATCACACGAATATGGTACTAAACTTGGAATATTAGCATGATTAATGGCTCTATACAGATTGAGACCCTATTTTCTTCCAAAGCAGAAGCTGTGAAAACCTAAAAAAAAAACTAACATCAAAAATCGCGGTGGCTCCACTTCTGATCCATCCTTATACTGATAGATGCAACTAACAGGTAACTTTGTATATTATATTTTTATATAATATACAAAGTTACCTACCTACCTTTACTAATTATTGAGATCTAAATATATAATATTATATATTCAGATCTCAATAATTATTAAAAAGTACTCATATACCAAAATTATTTCCCAGTAAATTAAATAAATAATAAAATAGGAAATATCATAAGAATAGTTGGAAAAAAATAACACATCGTTCCAATGAAGTTTAATAATAAACTAAAACTAGAACTAAAATAACTCAGAATAATAAACCATAAACGCTGAGGTACTTCTATTAACTAGCGCCATCTATTATTAAAATATGATGACATCTAATTAAAGCACCCGTTATTATAACTTAAGTTAATTAACTGAGTTATTTAGCTTAAGTTTATTTATTTATTCGTATTCTAAAAAAATTAAAACATTCTTCTTCAAGTTCATTAAATATAAAAAAGATAATCAAGCATTTTTAAATATTTACCTTACTTATTTTTACAAACAATATATAACTGCGCCATCTATTGCAAATAATAAAAATTCTCAAGAGACTGGAAATATAAATGTAAAAATATTGTAATAATGTATCTTATTTGCAACAGATGGAACTGTTTCTAAAGTATTATTTAGTTTTAAAATGTGATCAAGAGATGGCAGTTATATTAAATTTTTATATCTAACATAATGTATTAAAAGATTTACCTAATTAAAGTTCTAAAAAATCTCTAAGATAAAAGATCTATTAAATCTATTATTATAATTTAATTAATATTACATAAAAATTAAAACACTCGGTAAGTTTTCATGTTAAAATTATTACAAGAAAAATGGACAATGGTAGAAGACTTAGGAACTTAAAATCTACAAAACAGTATTTGGTAAAACACAACGTAACTACGTGTACGTAATGTTGCAGCAACATTATTATTGTTGCACGAATAGTTAGGTCGGCTTGACCAGGGTAGGACCACGCTCTCACAGAACACCAGCGTAAAATACTAGCTCAATACTGCTCTGTTTCGTATGGTGAGTGTAGAGAACCGAAGACCCTTTTTACAGGAAACGAGTTATTCCATCTTGGTGACAACGCTTCTGCATTTTGATCATATTTGAGGAAGATTTCTTTGGGCCACAGCATCCACTTACCATCAGGTGGAATGTGTGCTCGCTTGGTCACTCTTATTCTATAGAAAAAAAAACTGTATATTTAATTTGCTATTAATAGAGTGCTGGGGTTTGTATTAAAATTGTGTAGCTTTAATCTATTAAGCCTTATAATATAGTGCAAATATTTTATTAAGTGGTCCACAATAATAATTATATTAGATATTAGAGTAGACGCTGAAGTAATATTTCAATGAATAATTTACCTATGATACCCTCTATATCTATATTCACTTTTCAGTTTTTGTTTGTGTACGTTTTCGCATCACGGCTGAAAATTTTTGCACACTTTTACAGTAAACGCGTAAATGTGTTTCATAAAAGATGTTACTGCCAGTCTCCTGTTTTATTTATAACTGTCGGTTTCTAGTTTCTACTAAGGTTGTTAAGACAAGGGGATTAACTATAAGTTAGAGGCCACGGGGGAAGGCGCGCATTGTGTTCTTGTTGCGCTTTACTTTAAGGGAAATCGTCTCCGGCCGGCACTGGTGGCGAAGGAACACCAAGGGGTTTTAGTCGATGTGAGTTCGACATTACCCGTCTTCGCTCCCGCGATGTAAAAAAGGCGAACCGACAATGGCAGTACTAGACTTAACGAACATTTGACGTTGAACCGCATCGCTGGTCTGGGAATTTGACGTCTGGCGTATACGATATTATTATAACACCACCAATCAAAAGACGTGAGATCATCTTTGGCTCTTTCACAGTCGCGTCACACGCACGTGACGAAATCATGTGATACTCTTTTCCACCACAAGGCACAAAACACGCAATATACGTGGTAGAGCCATGCTGCAGTTATATTAGAAATATAGTTGTAGCACGAATGGGTCGGCATGACCGGGGAAGGACGACGCTCTCACAGAACACCAGCGTTAAATAGTAGCTTAATGTTGGTTTGTTGTGTAGAGAACCGAAGACCCTTTCCACTGAAAACGAGGCATTCCATCTAAGTCCTCACGGGTGACAACGCATCTGCATTTTGATTCGTAATCGAGGATAGATGTAGATGTCTATGGGCCACGACAGCCACTTACCATCAGGTGGACTGTGTGCTCGTTTGTCACCCTATCCTTTTAAAAAATTATCTAAAGATAATCAATACTTATTACATAAACAGATAAACGCACGATTCCTTGCGAACGCTCGTTAAGCTATTTAACATTCTTTTGTATATAAAATATAAGTGACGATAAGCATATTAATGTCTGCGAGTTCGTCACGGACCTTTATATGTGGTTTATGAATTTTACGTGGTAGAGCCATGCTGCAGCTTTATTATGATTTTTCGAATGGTGATTTGCTCAATCGGGAAAGGACCACGCTCTCACAAAATACCAGCGTAAAATAGCAGCCAGCAGTTTTTCGTATGGTGAGTGATTCATATGGAGAAAACGTGGCATTCCAACTCAGTCCTTATAGGTGACAATGCATCTTCACCGTCAGCATTCTCATGCGTAGTCCATATTCTTATTTGGATAAATGTATCTATAGGCCACAGCATGCACTTACCATCAGGTGGACTGTTGTCACCCTTATTCTGTAAAAAAAACTTTTACAGCTAATGGGCACCTGCGACGGCCTTCAAACAAAAAGGCTACAGATGTGTTGTCGCCTCTGAGGACTGAGATGGGTTTCCATACAGCCTGTAGTTATAGTGGCTATCCTAACCCTTCAGACCACAATGCAGCAGTGCACGCACTCCTGCTTGGCAGGGTAGAAATAGTTAAGAGGATGGTACGTATCCAGGTGGAACTCTATTCATGACTAGCATACAGTCCTATCATCAATCAAAATCGAATAAAAGAAAGATGTACACTTCAACCGCTGCTAAAACTAATCTACAGTTATAAAACATGTCAATTTGACTAAAATACAACTCCATTAAACAATCAGAATAACTCAAACATCATGATTACAGACCTTCACAAGTCCACTGCTGGACATAGGCCTTCCCAAGGAATGCCACAAAGCACGGTCCTGAGCCACCTGCAACCATCGACTTCCGGCATGTCTTACTAGGTCGTCACTTCATCTAGTGGGGGGACGCTTACACTTTCTGGGTATGTCACTCGAGAACCATTTTTCCCCATCGGTTATCGTTTCTTCGAGCTATATGGCCGGCCCATTGCCACTTCAGCTTACTAATCCGTTGGGCTGTGTATGACACACCTGATTCCTAAGCCTCAAGATGAACCTCATTTCTAATTTTATCACGCAGAGAAACACCGAGCATAGCGCTCTCCATAGCTCGCTGAGCGACTTTGAGCCTCCTCATACGGCCGGCAGTGACCACGTCTCAGATCCATAGGTCGCATCACTAGCAACACGCACTGGTTGTACAATCTAGTTTTGAGATTTTGAAGTATGCCTGACGAGAAGATGTGACGCAATCTCCCGAATGCTGCCCAGACGAGTTGAATCCGTCGATTGACCTCTCGGTCGAAGTTTGACTTACCTAGTCGGACTAATTGTCCTAGGTAAACATACTCGTCAAGAACTTCGAGCTTAGTGTTCCCAAGAACCACCGGCATAGGTGTGACATGACATGACATTACATATGACTTTCGTTTTGTGCATGTTCATCTTAAGACCTATCCGTTGGGAAACACTATTGAGGTCATTGAGCATAGTGCTTGGGTCTTCCAGCAATTCTGCCATAATGACTATACACGCCTCCGAAGTAGTGCCACCACAAAGGACGGAATTGAAGAGCTTCTCTTCTTCAACAATACTAACTAACTCCAACATATTATTCCAATACAATAGCAATAATAACTCTTGCCGAGATGTATTTATAATAATATTTATTAACAATTCTTTATACGCTTAAAATCCTATGGTGTTAACTCGATAAAATATCTTATGGCAGTAGGGTTACCATATTTTACACATGATTTTGTAACTTATTTTATTTAAAAAAAATGGTGTAACTAGCATAAACTCGTCGGCTCTAGTTCGACGTCGTTTATCTTTAAGAAATGAGCTTAATCCTTTCTAAAAGGATGACAAAGCACCTACAATTCCCCTAATGTTGCAAATGTTCATGGGAGACGGACTTACCATAAAGTAAACCCTATGCGTGTTTGCCTCCTCTTCCATAAAAAATATAATGTGAGTATTTACATTTGGCTTTAAGGGATGTATGGGCTACTGTTGACAAAATCCCAGAAAACATATAAGTCCACTAGATGGAGTGACGACATGGTAGAAGTCGAAGAATACGGAAGCTTATAACTTGTGACATTCCTTGTGAGAGGCCTATTTTCAACAGTGGACTTGTGAAGGGTGTGTAATGATAGGCGATCATAAAATATCAAGGAAATATTAAATTATTAACGTGTGGGGCTTCGTAAAAGAATCCATTACCCTATTTCGTCCTGTACAATTGGAGTTTATGACATTATAAACCGATATTTATCGGTTAATAATGTCATAAACTCCAGGAATAAAATATCCAGTCCACGTGTCCACGTCTGTAAATAAAATTGGTTTTAATAAAAAATGTGATATGCACTCTGTAAACATCAGAAACAAACTTAAGCTAG